AGATAAAATAAGTTAAATATATACGTATGTATGTTCATATGTATTATTTAAAATTAATTTGAAATCCCTGTGAATTTTACTTAGAGATAGATATCGGGTTCCACGGGACCCGCGGTATTTATTTGAAACAACGTTGGGATGGGCTATTTCGGGAGAGGGATGAAATTCATGGTACAATTGTACTTTTTGTTACATTTTGCACTGCATCACAATTAATTCGAAATACCACACTCCGCATACTTGGAAATTTAAATTTTTGCGGATAAAAATAGACACCTTTTTCTACATCATAGAAGTAAATGCGTGGTATTTATTAAAAACGGATGTCCTGCTAAAATCAAAAAAACCGTTGCTGTCATAATATGTCTTTTCCAGTTGCAAGTACTACTAGAGCGTAAAAGAACCATAGAGAATAAAATTTAGAGGAAAAGAAAATTATCAGAAAAAAATATTAAAGGCAAAACTAGTAATAAGGTGGAACTACGCCATTTTTACATTCTGATGGTTAAGTTCTGGCGAGTAATTTTCCCTTTGGCGGGAAATACTTCCCATCACTATAAAACCCAAAAAAAATCTACTTTCACTAATATTTTGAACATTTTTTCATCAAATCTTCCTCTTAAACACTTTGCTTACATTTTAAATGAACACATGCCTGTTTTTTTACTAATTGCCAATTGCTGCTGCTTTAATTTTTACTTGCAATAATTTGCAGCTTTATCTGGTTGTTACGCTCTCGAACTCGTCCTCTTGCAAATGTTTGGGGTTATTGAACGCATTTGTAATAAAAACTTGCTAGTAGAGTGATAAAAATTCTAATAATTTTTTGATATTAAACGGAAGTAGGAGTGTTTTCGTATTCTGCCGACAAAATTATCCAGCAGCAAAAATTCTGAGCATTCGCTATCAAAGAGACAAAATGACGCGAGGGTAAAATTTGCAAAAACGTGCAAAGCTCCAAACAGCTGATCACTTTCACAGTTGCAATAGGTGGTCCATTTGGTAATTTATTATCCACTTGGTGCATTGTCCCTGATTTGGGATTTTTTTACTATTGAATACTTTTGGATAGGAAAAATGTTTTTTTTTTTTACATACAAATGAATGATCGAAATGAATAAGTTAGTTTTCTCAAAATTATTTGCGGTACACATCATGAAGCATTCAAAAATAAAAGAACCTGACTTATCTTTGTTCTAAAAAATAAAAGTAGATATGGCTGCAAATTTGTATTTTCTCTTCAACCAACAACTGAAAAATTCAGCCAAAACATTTCAATATTTTTATTTATTTCGGAATATTTCAGGGACAAATATGGTGATGCTTTCCATTTCCAGACAACCGGTCAGGTACGAGCATGATTTTTAATTTCGACCAAACTCAAATACACTGTTTGTTATTCCATATAATGAGACACGTATTTTTTCTTTTGGCTCGGATTTTTTTCGGCCGAATTGAACGCGATTTTGTTTTTCAGTCAAAAATCGATTATTCGAATTGACAGTGAGAATTTTTTTTTAAATGCCCATAACTTTGTCAAAATTTAATAGATTCCAACAATGTTTTTACTCAAATGTCAGTAATTCTTGTCACTTCAAGATAGAATGATATAATTATTGATTTTCATTATTTCAAATTTTTTATTTAACAATAAACAAAAAGTGCAATTTTTTTTAAATTGAATTTCTCAAAAAGTGTATTTTTTTCTCTCAAACTTTTTTACCGGGAAAGAGACACTTTGAACTACAATCAACCCAAATCTCTAATAGCGAAGATTTTTTTTTCTGAGTTATGATTTTTTATAGAAAATATACGTTTTTGTGGTACATACTACAATATTCTTATATTGTTTAACTAAATGGTACATATGTATGTAATATATCAGCAAAAAGTACAGCCGTGATCATTTTTTGTGTATCTTGAAGTCACAAGAATTACTGACATTTGAGTAAAAACATTGTTGGAATCTATTAAATTTTGACATAGTTATGGGCATTTAAAAAAAAAAATCTCACTGTCAATTCGAATAATCGATTTTTGACTGAAAAGCAAAATCGCGTTTAATTCGGCCGAAAAATTTTTCCGAGCCAAAAGAAAAAATACGTGTCTCATTATTTGGACCAACAAACAATGTATTTGAGTTTGGTCGAAATTAAAAATCATGCTCGTACCTGACCGGTTGTGTGGAAATGGAAAGCATCTGGTGCAATTGAAAAATTGTGTACGGCAACTAGTTGACACACACTGAAATTAGAAAACTGGGGATTAATACATAGTAAATTGACTAAAAGCAACATCGCAAAAAATATAGAAAAAAAAGGTTTTTTCTT